TTGAAGTAGTAATCAGAGTAGTTCTTGACGGATCCGCAGTCGATGTTCAGTTGACCTGCATTCATTAAAAGGTTTCCAACCGGCATTCTGTTACCAGCGCTCTTACGATCATGACAAAGACATTGAAGTAACAAAGTTTCCAACTGTAATTTCACATAATTCAGGCTACCCCTCAATGATGCAATCATATCATTGTCCAAGAACAGGACACAGAGTTTGCGATAGCCAGTTGGAAATTTGGTTAATCAGTCTTGTTACTCAACTATTTAATATGCAATTCCTACACGGGGTCCAGGTGAGGACAATGGTAATGCGTGGAAAACATCAGGGTATGGAATCCATTCTGCGGGGAGATTTAAAAAACTCAGGCGGTAAAACTGCAGACAACTGGTGTTTTTTTCCCAGTAGCCTTACTACGAGATATATTGCCTCCACTGAGCAACAACATCTTGACTTATCGACCTGAAGATACCAAATTGTAATGCATGTTATACAGATCTCCATAAAGCAGGCGTTTACCTGGTTGAGCGGTTGTGGGAACCGCACATAATAAGCAGAGTAAGGCCAGTGTTAGACCAATGCTGTACGACGCACTTCCTCGGAGCTCCATTATCACCAGACTCGTTTTCAGGGACAGAACTTGAGCTCGCACTGCTCTGTTATATGAGAGGATGTAACCTCCCACAACGTCATCGACTACTTACATTCTCAGGGAGGTCATTCCTAGCGCTGAATTATATTCTAACTAGTGTTGGTGCAGGTCATCAGAGATGCATATTCCATTAAGCTTGTCCAGGACATGGATCTTGCGACTGCCCGAGATGAGTGAATCCATGAGTCAGAAGATGCTCATTGTCCGTAAACCAGGCCAATCCAAGCTTCAAGATTTATGATCTCGATGATCATGATCATGGAATGTGTCCAGATATGAGCAACATTCCAACCTGCCAGGAGCCTAGAGGAGGCAGCTAACAAGCAACTTGCAGCTTGAGAGGTCAAAACTTCGAGGATTCGCAGAAGAATGCCTGCGGTCATGGCCTCTTGCCCTTTAACACCCGCTTCATCGTCACTTATGTTGAGTTGACTTTGAGATTAAAGTCTTAAAGTAATCATCATCTCGAATCTGTTCGTCAATGAATTCCTTTCCAGCATCTGGGCGGTTCATCACCTACGTACTGATAACTGCTAGATATACATTCCCAACTGTACAGCCGAGACTCTCGTCTCTTCACGACGACATTCGGTCAACCCATTGTGGGCACAGTCTAAACAGGCATGTCACGAGTATCTAGTATGTAAGTCCATAGAAAGACGAGAGCATCGACACTTGCTCCCTTGCCTAAATATTTCCTGCAAGCAGCGAGCGAGCATGGACCTGTACATACCTCCCCCCATGGCCAGACATGACTGAACCGAAAATTAGTGACTCACCAAGGACGTGACCCTAGGCCTACAGACCAGGGGAGGACTGAACCGACATCAACAGGTGGACGGCCTTCAGATGAAAGAAAACCAAGAGCATCATCAACAGGGGACAGCTTTCTGGAAGAAACTTCTGAATGAACATGCGTACAACCAGTAAAATCGACTATGCAAGAAAAAATCTCCACAGATCTACCCCGACTTAGCTTGACCTACGTGCCTCACCAATCTCCAGTGTCAGTTTACTACAATCGCATCGAAATTCATTACAGAAAAGACGAGGAATTTCTGAGTCACTTTCAATTAAATCAGGGCCTGGGTGAAATTCCCTATTCGTGCTTTTGTTGCCCACCACTGGAATGAACAGTCAGGCTCGTGACCGAAGACGTAGTCCGTGCTTCTGTTAAGACGATGCGTGCAGACAATAAGCAATTGGGACGTCAAACTAGCTTAATATATATGCTAATTTGGCGGCACAATACCGAGGAGTAGCGCAGACTTTCATGCCTGAGAATCAGGAAACCGGTGTTACCGGTGTATTCGCTAAATATTCGATGTGGCAACCGGGAATCCAACGAATGCACCGGCGAGATCCGTCACTTCGTTTGGAGAGACAACGTGGTATAAGTAAAAGCAGTCGAGAAGTCTCAAGTAGTCGTCCAATTTTAGTAAAGCATGTTCCTTGAATGTACTTCATGCACCCGAATTCGATCAGCGTTGAAATTTGTCATTCAAGGAACATGCTCTACTAAAATTGGACGTCTTACTTGAGACTTCTCGATTGCTTTGACTTATACCATTCGGTGCAAACGGGTTTAATGTTCATTACTTAGAGGTTGATTGCAGCTGCATAACTCGCTGCCCGCAGACTTTGGATGGATCCCAACCTTTGTATGGCCTCGGATGACTAATCACAGCCAACTTTTACAAGCTTACAGTCGCAATGGTTCGATGTCCTCAGAATACAGACATCTGAGACTTAGACCCGCATAGGATTGGAACTGTCGAGCAGCTTTTCGTCGAGACGTAGGTGATGGGGTATAGACACATTGAGAACGCAGAGATGTACAGGCTGTCCATCGCAGCCAAAGCTGCACTGAAAGTGGGCCGGCTGAGGAGTCTCACCTTGCAACTGGTGCCGATGATAGCGACGATCCACAAGATCTTCCAAGAAGCAGTGGAGGATCATGCAGCAATCACCCAACGTGGGCTCAGTTAACTGGCTAAAATAAACTTCTGTACTGTTTCTGAGCTTCATGTCTTGCACCCATACGCAGCAAGTTATGCCAAAATGGAAGATGTGTTTTGTTCAGACAAACATGTACAGGAACATTGTAAAGTGGCTGATATCCGAAGGTTCCCACAGAACCGAACTGCTGCAATCAACATGGTCCCTTGTTTGAACATGCAACTCCGCATTATCTTACCATACTCGAGCACCCATAGATCAATTGATAGGGATTGATACTCAATGTCAAAATAGTACGATGCACTCAGCAGCGCAGTGCATCGTACCATCGTAAGATGCGCTCAAACATCAGAGGTTTAATTATTTTTAGTCTGACTTGAAACGTTCTTTCAGTTTCTAAACGGCGGGATTCAGATATAATCATGAAAAACGCGGGCCTGATCAATCAGATAATTAGAATATATTCCTTGAAGGCAGCCATATCCGTCCAGTTTTGATGCTTTGAGGCCTTGAGTATTTATTATCATAGTTTCATATTTTTAGAAGGACAGGGTGGCTTCATGCACAAGATCCTTCCGCGAGTCCGGTGTCACAGTGTTGATTACCATAATCGTCTTGTTGCGAGCACATTCGCCTACTGTCCCGGAATGATCACGAGATCTCTACGTCTGGTAATGCTATCCCAATGATCCTTGAGATGCTCATGCTGCGCATGGTCTAATCAGAGGCGAGTTTGCCGTGACTGCTCTGAAATCTTCTCGAACTTCAAGCTGTTCTATCTATTGTCTTGTCTGCTTCTAAGTTGATCTACGATTATCCTACAACTTGATAAGCCGATGCTCTTTCAGTGGGTTTGGTTTCCAGGTTACAATGTGCTTTTCTGGACCTTATACTACAGTCCTGGAAGTATTCTCTGTGATGGAAGAATATGCTCAAAAATTAAGTATGAAAAACTGCAATGATAAATATGCGCATGCTCTCCAATGATCCTCAACGAATGACTCGTCTCTTCTTCTGGTAAATATTTGTCAAACGAGCCATGAAGGTCGCATCGGATTAGATGGTGATTCACGTAGATGTGGTTTAACCCTAAACTGAAGGCCTGAAGGAAGAAGGGGTGCTAATTCCTGGCGAGTTTGGTGGGCCCAAGTCCACAACAGGACTGTTAAGATGCATCTATACACTCAACTCGTCAAACTATATGTAGACTAAGTGTAGAATTAAGAGAATACATTCAATTCAAAAATTTGAAATATGACCTACAATCTGTATAGTGTCTACAATCTGTTTGTTATATTCATGCTTCACTCCAGCTACGCAATGTCATTAATGTAGAAAATTAGCCGTGAGTTGCAAGTAGCGCATGTATTGGCTGCTTGGGTTTCAACATCTATTTAGAGATTCAGGTAAGAGGTCAAATTGAGAATCCGTTAAGGTCGAAAAGGGGTGTTGTAGTCATGGATCAATAGCCCTGGCTAGGGGGCACTTGAATGGAAGGCGCTTTGTGCCCGAAGGGTTTGGCACCCGGCTGCCTGGTGAGTGGGGCAGTACAGGGGTTTGGATTGACTGTTAACTCCAGGTCGGAAAGCACATATCAACCAACATAAACAAATACAAAAAACGTTATCGGTTTATTAGGACTAAGTAACCATAACAAACATGTCCCCCAGAACCAGATACGGTGTTTGTGGCATTAACCTTTATATAGAGTTAATGCCAGTTAACACGCTGAAAATGACATCATTATTGGTGTCACTCCGTCAGAGCTGTGAACTTTTACATAATGTGGAGAAAATATTATAAATAAACCAAAATAGATGAGAGTTCAATGTGACACCAACAGCTGCAGCATGTCTTCTTGTTCAAGTGCCGAACTCCCCTTGCAGATCTTTGGTATCTATGTTGATATCTAGACGTCAGAATCATATGTTTCTAAATGTGCAGGTTGCAATCGTCACTGAAGACAGGATTCCAGCTCCAGAATGTGATCTCATTCCATCATCAGTGTCATCTGAGAGACGAGGGGAAGTATATATGAACAGGATACTTTCGTTGTCAGAACGAAAGGAACTCATGTCATTTTCAGCGTGTTAAATACCCAGCGTGTCACACGCAGTGGGTCTATAGTTTACAGTTTAGTAGGGAGTATGTCATAATCTGTTCTTCGGAGTAGTAAGTTTGCGAGTTTTGTAAGGGTTCAAATGCCCGAGTTAAAACCAAGTGACATTTACATACGTCTGGTACTACAACTTTGGCCCAATGAAAAGTCGTAAAACTGGAATCACTGGTGGTTAGATGTTTGGGAGAAGGAGGTTGCAAGGTCCAAGGATAAGTTTGATGTCGTTGTAACTATTTTATAATATATATTCTAGAGCAATTGGAAATCTGCTATATGGGGATGTAGCTCAGATGGTAGAGCGCTCGCTTAGCATGCGAGAGGCACGGGGATCGATACCCCGCATCTCCAGACGATCAACCCAGCTTTTAATTTTTTACTTGCCTATCTTCATATTTTGGAAGACCTTGTTTGATTCAGTCATGTCAATTTTCTCGAGTGACCTGATGACAGAGTTTCAAGTTTTGGAGGCATAATTTGAGTGATTAGAACGTTGTGTGTATATTCTTTTAAATCCACCGACATGAATTTGAGACTGAGTCTCAAAAACTACTTCTCTAGGAGCGCTTATTCAAATTGTACCCTTAAACCCTAGGTATTCTAGCACTAACTGCAATACTGATTAAAAAACTATTGTATCTACTCATACATGCACACACATCTAGCTAACTTGAGGTGCCACTAGATAGGTTGTGACAATTAAAAAAAATATTTGAAACTCAAGTTGACAATGTTATTTTTTTAGATTCTTGAACTTTGATGTAGAGTGTCATGATTTCTAATGATTGAAGGCTAGCCTAAAATCCACATGATATTTCAGATTTAAATTTGTCATCATAATGATACTAAAAAAATTACTACAAATGATCAATCTTGGTGCTACTATTTTTTCTGTTTGGATTACTATGACAAGCAATTCCACCTTGCTTGATAGCAAAATTGCTTGGGATTAGTTAATTTGTGTGTTTGAATCTATGTTAGACACACATGGGGGACAACTCATGGTTGTGCCGTGACTCGAGACATCTGTTTCCAAGTAAAGCAATGCAGAGGGTTGGAATGCTGTAATAGCTAAAGTCACTAGGCTGAAATATATAACATGACTTAAATGTTATACATTGTTAATGTTATAAACATGGGGCCTAGCCCCATGTTACCGGTTTGGTTCCATCCTTGTACGTGTTGATGGGGTATTCCCATCCCTTTTGTTATTATACTTTCTGGGTATCTTGCTTAAATGTTATAAAATAAATGTCTAGAGTCACCTCTTTTGTCTTTTCTCACATTGAAGTGTAAATTGGCCATGGTTTTATAATTGATCCTATATCATAATCTAGATAACATCAAGTTGATACAAGTCCTTAACCATTCTTTCTTTGCAACTTTCTTTAAGCTGGTACTCTTTGTCTTGCTTATATTTGAAATCATTTGTTCCCTTCTTAAAGACTCACTCCTCAAAGAGTGACTTTTCAAAAAGTTAAAGAATTGGTTGTGCTTTATGTCAAAATAGTTTTGATCCCTCCAAATTGTTTTAAGAATGCTTATCATGACGTGTTGACCCTCTTCTTGACTTCCATGCAAATTTGATCCCTTGTGCTATTGTTGCATGTCGTTCCTTGTATATATCCTTTCATCACATAGACCGTTTGCTTCCATTCTTTTCACACGTCGCGTGACTTTGTAAATACAAAGAAAAGATGTAAAAAGGTTTCTTTGGGTGCATAACAATTATGAATCTATGTTTCCACTTTCATCTCAACTACATTTCAACTCATATTTAGTGTAGTATCAATATGATTTTGGGGTGCAAAAATAGGTTCTCATTGTTGGGTTTTACCCCGACCAGCAATTCTAATCTTATTTTTTAGTCTGAAGGGTTTGTAAATACATATGTTATTGCAGATCAATCGCCCATTCTTGTATTTTTGCTAAACATTACATGGTGATATGATACAAAAATTTTAGAGATACAGATGGGTATAGATTGTAGGTGTTAACGTAGAGTGTACTCATCATGTACCAGCGCATACAACATTCTTGCGTTGAAGGTGAGACGATTACGTTGAGTCGTAGGCTGAGCTAGACTATGTGTATATATATACCATAGACAAGGGAGATTCATCCCTACAACTTTTTGAGTTGTTTTCTCCTCTCTTGTTCTTCTCATTGAGAGCTCGTGGCATCAACAGTTTTGAATTAGTTCTAGACAGATGTTGTACTCGAAGTTCCTCCACGGCGTACATATCAGTTCTTTCAGCCTCAACATTATTCCAGAGAGTATCCGAGCGCTGCCTTCAATAAAAATAAATACCTAGCGGGCGTTCATTCAAGGCAACAGAGTGTCTTCTGATGGATGCTTTAGTAAATTTATTAGCTTAAGTTTAACAAGATGTTTGAACATGGCTGAATGGAATAAGTTGTGTTTTTGGTTTTCATTAATACTACCACTAAAACTTATTTTGGGAACCACCGGTAGTCCTGGAGCAACTCATTGTGGCAACAGATGATGGAGACAGCGGACGGGATAATTTGATCAGAACCATGCGTATACTCTGCAACATTCAAAGTTATGCCATATGCATGCGTAATACACCAACAATGTGTTTAGCCGTGGACACCTTTCTTAAGTCTAGCTATATATGGAGACACTGTGTGAACGACTGATATGAATGAGAGGTCGTACGAATCAGGTAGGAGAGAAGAATGTAACATAGAATGTGAAGGGTTGCGCATGTCAATCATGAATCTATGCATGATGATGCAAGTGACTTACACTTTGGGATTGGAGCCCGTGGAGAGCCTAGTGTTGAGAGGGCTGCGGTGCGGGAATTGATTTGTAGTTTCTGTGGCCATACTTTGGCAAACATGGAGAGTGAATAGTTCATTCTCTTCGTCTTTCAATTTGGGTTCCATTGGTACCTAAATTGAAGACCATGGAGAATGATATTGTGAAATATGAGTATTTTTATTTTTTTAGGGTTTTGAGTGATTTTTCTTATACTAGACATATGGGTCGGGTTTTTTTTGTTCTCATCTCTTCTTTTTCCTGTATTGGTTCTATTGGAACCTAGTTGGAAAATTATGGAGACCTGAATAAAAAGTTATGAGTATTTTTAGATTTTAGGGTTTCCATAGTTAGCATTTTCCAATATGAGGTGGTGTGTTAGGGGGGTTGTGGTTCTGCAGGTGGGAGGAGATACATGATGTAGTGCTGGGTTTCTTTATCGTTCCCTTTGTGCTAGCTTTAGCTTGACTTTCTCTCATGGGACCGCCAAAACCGGTGCGTGATACACCATGTCTGGTGTGTCATCGTCTCTTTACCTCGCAATGGATAAAGACCCACGTGGGAAAGATGCACAAAGATTATGATTGGACCACTTGGGATGCGCATGTGAGGAGGACGGTTACATCGACATCGGTTTTTGTCACTTCGGGGAACACTCACATTACATCGACTCCTTCGTTGAGCATTCCGGGTATACCGTTGGGGTCGTGGGAGTGGTTAGCTTCCCATGCAGGTTCGATTCTAGGGCTTTTTGAGACTAGATTTCCATGTCCACGTTTATTCCATAGGCTTCCTCGGGCTTTGCATGACGAGGCTAGACGTGCTTTTCGCTTACCGCTCGATCGGTTGGTGCGCGATCCCATGGACGAGTTAGCATGGTTTTTGTTTTTATTACTTCCGCGATGGTGTCTACGTTATACTAGAGGGGGGTCGGGCGACATAGAGAGGTGGCGCCTAGATTTCTGAGATTCCGAGCAGGGGATTGGGCTACATTGCAGGAGGAGTCTGTTCGGGCCACACAGGTTAGGAGTCGAGTGCAGTCACATGATACTTCTGATTCGGCGCGATTGCGACGGTGTAGGATCTTGGGGCAGGACGGGGAGTATAGCAGGGCTGCACAAGCCCTTCATCCTTTGTCCATGGCTAGTCCTACTTAGGAGACGATTTCCTCTTTACGCCTTCTACATCCAACCATGGGCGAGGAGATACCATTAGAGGTCTTGGAGTATCAGCCAGAGGAGCCATTATGTCTTGACAGATCATTATTTGCTCATTCTCTATGCACAGCCCCACGTTTATCCTCTGGGGGTTTGTCGGGGATGGTATATGAGCATCTTCGAGATTGCTTTCAGGCGGACGATCCTTCTAGTGGTTTCACCTGAGTTGTTCCGCGTGGTCGCAGCTTCTTGCGAGAGGGGAGATTCCGTTGTCGGTTAGTCGCTGCAGGTCTTTGTGCTAGGCTTCTTGCGATGGAGAAGGACACAGGGGGCATTCGACCGATTGCTATTGGAGAGGTCTTATTGCGATTAGTCAGCCGTACCGTTGTCTTGTAGCATCGCCACACTTCCTGTGAGCATCTTTGTCCACATCGTTTGGAGTCGCCACACCGGGAGGTCGTGAGGCAAAGATCGTTGGGCATTAGAGCACTTCTAGATATCCATCCGGATTGGGTTGTTTTGCGGTAGACGTTGAGAACGCTTTTAACAAATAGCCGCGTGCATCCATTTTTAGAGAGCTTAGAGAGGCTGGTGGACCCCTATCAAGCCTCATTCCTTTTGTACGATCTTTTTACGGTTCTCATTCTTCTTTATTTTATCAGCATGGCTTTTTAGGAGGAGAGCCAACGTTCTCTGATGCCCTGCACTCGGCACTCGACAGGGAGATCCTTTGGGGGGACCCCTATTTGTCATGGCTCATTACATAGCTCTTGTGTCTACTGCTTTGGCCGTGCCCGGTTGTGTGTTCCCCACCTTGGCGGATGATACACACATTGTGGGCCATGTAGACGAAGATTAGGCGGTAACTGATTACTTGACTACCGAAGCCATCTTGTAGGCTTGAGAGTCAAGGTGTCAAAGTGTAGGGCTTGGTCTCCTTTGGGCATTCCGCCTCATCTTCAGCTTCCAGAGGGATGTATGATATCGACAGATGGCTTACGTATTCTAGGAGTGCCAGTAGGGTCTGAGGATTTTGTTTCACGCTATCTTGACGTTGCATTGGCCGAGGATGTTTTGCATGTAGACGACCTTCCTCTACTAGGGGATCCGCAGGTGGCGTTTGGTATACTATCATCTAGTATTGCTCGTCGACCCACCTATCTTCTTCGCACTGTTCCTCCTTCACCTACATTCATATCACGTTTGACAGCCTTTGATAGGAGGATCATGGGCGTCTTTGGTGACATCATCGGACCCGGGACATTCGAGTGTGTGACCGAGACTTGGCAAGGAGACGAGACATCTTTGCCAATCTCGTGTGGAGGGGTAGGCTTATTATCGATGGAGGAGACGGCACTGCGGCGTTTTTACGAAGGGCACTTGTTGCACCTTTGTTATCTTCTCGATTTGTGA